TAAGTAGCGTAATGTAGATGTAATCTCAGTAAGCCTTCATAAAGGTGGTCATAAAACTACGGCGGAAATTGTCTGTTACAGTCGAGTCCACTCAGCATTTCCTCAGCGAGAACAGACCCTTTACCCCACCGGGCAGATATGTTTACCCGGTGATCAGCAAAACCACGATGAGATGTGTTTGCTGTAAATGAGTTTATTAAACATTTTGACTGGCAAAAAAAGGCCGACAGACGAGGCGCCAAGCTTGTTTGCTTGCTGCTCAGAGCAACTGTCTCTCAGATTGTGTGGGTTATGATGCTGTTTCTGTACAATGCAGGATTTCCAAATAATAGCAGCTGGTGATGTAAAGAAAATTACTCCATGTATAGGGGTGATTTCCCAGCAGGGGGTTTTAAGGGGATTCATCCCTGACCCCTGAAACTGCTCTACAGCTGGTTTCACAGCAAGATCTGGTGTGGATATTAAATGCCTTATCACTGTAGCCGAGGTTTGGTTATTATTGTGTGAGGATGAGATACCACAAGAAACCCTCTCAGGTCCTGGTCTTGTGGTTGTAATTTTAACCAGACTGTCTTTGATCAGGACTGAAAACCGGTGATCTAGAGACGACTGACAGTTCAGAATTAAAAGTAAATAAACAAATCAAGGTATTACTGCAATGAAAACATCGGTAAAGTTGCTTGGCAGCATGTGGAAATCTGGATACTGTTGTTGTTTTTGTTGGCAGCCACGCAAGCAGAGTTTTCCTTTAAGCACCAGGAGCGCAAATTACGTTATGCAGGCAGCACGTAGCACATTATGCCTCTCATGCTGCCTTTGAGCACATGCATGAGTGCATGTTTAGGTGCACGCTGACAGAAATTATCATTATTGTCCATATTTATTGCTTGTAGCATGAGGAATCAGTTGAAGGTGTATTAAAGGGCGACATCTTGCTTGGTTTGAATAAAATCCTGCATCCTCAGGTTATAACCAGATGTAACTGGAAAGAAAATAGTCAAGCAGACGGTAGATTATCATCCCTTTTGGGCTAGATGTGGAAAACATTCAGTGTTTCTTTGTTTATGTAGATGCAGTACGTCTAGTGCCACAATGTACACTTCACACTGCGATGTAAAAAAGACGTTAAAAGCATCAAACTTGTCTCCTTATTTGGGGAAGCGGGGAAAACGTGTAGTGGCGCAATGTCATTTGCATCAGCGAGCATATAGGAAATCATAATGCTTGTGATCAACTGTGCCATGAAACAAACACACCACTTCTGCTTCCCTGTGCACAGGAAGAGTTAACAGAAAAGCTTTGTTGTAATCACTTCTGTCTCTGAAATTACATGTATGACACATGGAGACAGCGGTGGTATCACAGGCACTGTTGCTCTTGGCACAAACATGTATTGCACACAAGGCGTTGCGTGACAGTGATCATTTGCGTTCAGAGTGAGACGACTTAAAATGTTGAGTAATGATTGCTGTAAATAATAGGGTCTCCACACAGTGCGTGCATGAGCTGCTCTAAAGTGAATTCGCCCGTGTCACTTAATGCAACATTACTGGATAGTCAAGAGTTGTTACCAGTAATTACTGGTGTCTCTCCTCCTGGAGCCCACTGACGTGTTTTGTTCTTTACTTGCAGTATGCAGAACACAGACAAGTTGTTTCAGTCGAACTAGATCCAGTTAGGTAGGATGCCTTAATCCTGCTTATACTGGTGCTATTCTCCATTCGACAACTGCGGGTGTTCAGTTGCGCCTCTATTGCCCTTAAAGAATGTAATGAATCAATATTGAGTATCCGTCGGCTGCCTCGCTGCATCTGCTCTGTCAGTTGTCACTTCCTTCACGCTCTTAAGAAACACAAGTTTCACAGCTCTTGTTTCCTTGCGCAACATTTCTTTGACATATACAGCCATAGTATAGGGGCACTGAAACATTTCTGCTGTGGCTCTCGGTTGGTTCTTGTTTGATAGCGTTGGGTCTGATGTAACATTTCGTTGATGTGCTGCGTTTTATTTAACACCTCAGAAGCTGTTGTGCTTTAACCAGTAGCAGCAGAATTTTTTGCTTTTGAAGTACATTTTGTCGCTTATGTATTAGTGATGAGCTGCAGGGTGTCAACTGCATGCTGAGAGCTCTGCTTATTTCATGTGCATTCAACGAAAAACAAGACTTTTGTCTTTGGGTTTTTATTCAAATTTGCCAACTATGTCTTTTCCTGACCACAGATACAGAAGTTGTGCCTCTTGTTACATCTAACCGGAGATTATTCAGCTATTTTTCATTTTTTTGACATTCTTGCCAGACAGTTTGTGCTTTATTAGAAGCATAATAGGTAGGTCTGAACGATTAATCGATTTCAAATCGAAACCACGATATGAAACTATGTAGTTAGCCAGTTGCAAAGGCTGCACTTACAAACGTCACGCAGCGTATCTGACTCAGGCTTTAAACTGTCATGTCAGTGGTTTTGCTGCTTCATGTGTGACAGTCACAGTTTTTATGGTATCTTGTAGTAATGCTCCATCACATGTATTAAATCTATTACACAGCGAGTATGGGACTAAAGCTCGACTTTTAAAAAATTGTATCGCAATATCTGTCTGCAAAATCGCAATTAGAGATTTTCCCCAACTCGCTCAGCCCCGAGTGTCGGACAAACAGACTGGAGGGATAGTTTCATGTTCACAGAAACCCCAGAAACAAGTTTTACGCTTTTGATATCTGCTAGCATGAGGACAGAAGCACTGACAAATTGCGACACTTGTGACATGCACATTGGATTTCTTACGCATCTGGAGATCACTGATGTTGTGTAAATATACGTTGATCTTTCACATGAGTCAGACCTGTCTAGTGTTGCACAAGCTGTTATTTTCCATTTGGATTCATGTGAAGCCACTGGAAGATTGAAAACTGCATCTCCCGGTTGACATGTCTGCTTCCAGAGTAGCACTAACAACCAGGATGTTTGTGGGTGTTGTCTCTTATCTCATTATGTATTTAAAACTATGTAAACATATGATATGGAAAATAGTCAATTTTCCTGAGAATGGAAGCCGAACTTTACTAGAATTTCTGTTGCCAGCCGTAGAGACCTTTGACCTGGACGCTATAGACTATTTACCTTCTCCTGTGCTCTGAACATGCCTACATGTAGTTATACATCGAGTGAGATTTTCTGTGTAATTGCAGTGAGTCACATGCAGGAGATAAACAGCCCCTTCTCATTCAGGAAAAAAATAATACCTGCATTGTAATGATGAGATATATTATGGTGGGGATTGCTGTGGTGTTCACATGCTGGCTGAATGTAGTCGTACTTTGTAGAATCGTGTTACCTTGAAGAACTGCTGACTCGAAACTTGTTTTTGACAACATGTTTAGAAGGGGTTTAATGAATGTAATAGTGGCAGATGTCGCTTAAAAATAGCAGCTTTCAAAAGGATTAAAAACATTTCTGTGCAGCTGCAGTTTCACTTTATGTAGGTAATGCTCAAAATGTATGCATAGTGCTGTCTTTCACGGCGGTGGGAATGCCAGTAATAGTTCTACACATTAAACTGCAACTTAGACGTGAGCAGAATTCGTGCTCTCAGCCAGAGTGTACCCGATGAATAAGAGAAATGCAAAGCCTGAAGGTTCTGAAAGTACAGGATCGGGGCAGGTGTTGGTTACAGAGGTCTGTCTCTTCATGTATTAGTCAGCATAGCTGAATGAGTGGTAGCGTACAGTCACCGCTGCCTCCTGTCATGACTGCTGCTTCAGCGTGTCCAGCACCTGCACTCCACTTTAATTTCCCCACGTGCTGTTGACTTTGTGTGCAGCTCTTATCTGTACCTGTCTGATCAGCCTCCCCAAACCCAGACTTCTCAACATTTCGAACATATTCTCGGTAAACGGTAGGCGCCGTCATTGTGGTGCTGCAACATTTGACATGGGAACAGACATAATTGAAACTCATCGCTTATAGCACAGACTGGTTTGCATACCTGGGCAATTTTTAGAGCAGGTGTGTAGGGGAACAATTGTCACCTATACAAGTTGCTAAATAAAACCTCCCCTTTGTGCCTCTTACTTGTAGTAAAAAATTTTAATAAGGGGAAAACACAGCAGTCAAACCTATGTGGCGTGACAGCGCTATATAGGAGCTGTAGATTTCAACAACCCTTAAACAATGTTCATAACGTCGGTGAGGTAGTGCTGTCTCATTTGTGCTGATGGGCTTGAATTAATCTTGACTTCAAGCCAACCAGGTGAAGAAAGTGACTGTTCTTCCTGTAATTTCACTTCCTCGTGTTGTTGAGGTTGAAACATTTTGTTCTGTGTGAGCAGTTTGTCTGGTCTGGGCTGGTTTTGTGATTAATCCTGCACGTGTTGCACAAGAGATATTAACCCCCGAGTCTGCAAGTTAATGCTTCACAGGGACTTCAGATTGAAATGTGCAATTTTAAGTGTGAAATTGAGCATTTTCTTCTCTGTCACATTTTTAAACTTGTGATCAGAGTCGACATGGCGTCTGTGTAGTCATCGCTGTAGCCGTCTGCTCTTCTGCAACTCATGAAAGTTTGAGAACATTTTTGGCATTTTACCGTCATGAGTGTAAAAATTATGAATCAAGTTCCTCAAACAATATGCAGGACTTTTTCTTTCGTTATCATCTGTTAACTTAGTGTGTCTCCAACTGTTCTAAAATATGCCGCAAAACAGGGAACTTAACCAGTTTTACGAGAACCATAAAATACAACATTAGCAAAATAAGAGTGCGTTTGCCAATATGTTCATTAGATCTGTATGAAATCAATGGAGAGTGTTAAAATGTTTTATTCAGTAAAAAGCCCAAAGATGGAAAGATGATTTTCCTTAAATATTTATATTTGATGGGTCTGATGCTTTCAGAAAAAAGGTTTCAGTTTTAGCACAACACATGTCTTTTGCCTGTTAACTGTTGTTCACAGACAGTGAGGAAGTAACAGTCTGACTTTCTGCTTTTCTTTCTCTCCCTCAGGTCTTTGTAGTCTGTCAGTGAAGTTTTGTACTCCCACCTTCACTTCCACTGCGTGTGCCTCATTGAGCGCTGTGCAACTCAGCGCTGCTACTGGCTTTGGTTTCCCCCCAGCTGCAGGAAAAACCATTGAGACAAGAGAGCAGCCTCTGTCTCTAGAACTGCAGCCGACCTCTGACTGCATGTCTCAGAGCGCTCATCGACCCCCCTCCTCTTTTTCCTCCTTCTACTCGCACTCAAGGACCTACATTTCCACATAACCATAACCTCCAAACTTTCAGCCAGCTGTTAGCTGCTTCATCACAGGCACAGTTGGCAATTGCTTCCTCTTGGAAGAAGGTTCGAACGTTGTCCCCTGACTGGCCCCCAACTGGTGCTCCTTCAGTGGGGGAGGGAGGGGAAGGAAGGCCACTGATCGTTGTGCCGCTTTCCCTGGAGATGAAGCTGCAGGCCGTCATGGAGAACCTGCACAGGCAGCAGAGGGCCAAACTGTTGATGGAGCAGCAGCTACAGCAGCAGGCCGCCGCCCAACACACTCAGGTCCGCACAGGTGGAGGGGATGAGCCGATGGGGAGCCCGGCCCCCGAAGCAGAGCAGGCCCAGATGGCAGCCCTGGCGGCCATGCGTGCTGCCGCGGCCGGGCTGCAGAGGGTGTCCGACAGCCCCATGTCAGAGCGCAGCAGCGGCGGCGAGGAGGAAGGTGACGACGATGACAATGACGAAGGGGAGGAGCCCTACAAGGACATGATGGGGTCAGATGAGGAGGAGCAGATGTGAGTAAATTTCTTTGATTAAGTTTATTTGAAACTTCCGTTATTTGTATCAGTGAGTTTAAAACTATATTGTTCTGTTTCTACGGCGCACACAGCAAACAGAAGTGGGACGAGGAGGACTTTGAAGGTGAGATGGAGGAAGACTTTGACGATGACCTGACAGAAGAAGGTCTACCGACGGGCCACGATGCTGTGGCCCCTGGGAAGGGCATCCTCCTGCTGCCTCACCGCCAACTCCACCCCCATTCCCAGCTGTTGAAGGTCCGTCCCAATGTCGAGCAGGAGCCGCGAGTAGCCATCCTCCCGCCACATGCTACGCACAGCCACCTGGGTGGGCAGGACCACGGAGAATGGACCTATGAGGAGCAGTTCAGACAGGTAGGATCACTTCATGTGCCTTCTGCTCCTCCACTGTGTGGAAGTTTGTCCTCTAAAAATGCTCCCTGATAGACGAGGATTAAGTGTGTGTAAGTGATGTAGCTGCTGGACATTCAGACTGTCATTAAAGTCTTGTCGAAGTGTGCTGCTTTGGCTGTCCTAACTTCTGGCTGCATTAGCAGAACAAGATCATTGCCTTCATGTAGTACATTGAAGAACCATGCCAGCTAAATTCCTAAAATATCCGTTAGTCAGCTGCTGTAGCACACCAAGGAAGTACATAAATCTAAAATGTTGGTTGCTGACCAGCAAGCCACATCTGGCCTTCACACCCCTGACATCAAAACTGCTTGGCACTTTCTCAGCAGCACATAATGTAATCTGACCAGGGTGGGAAATTGACACCAGCCGCTGGCCAAATGTTGATAAAAGCTAAGTTGAGGCTTTTCAGTTTGTCTTTGCCACCTGACATTCTGGCAGGGCCCACGTGTTAAAAGCTTTGACCTATAGAAGTCTCTTTTTCTTGTGGAGCGGCTTAGTGCCTGGTGAGATTTGACATTTTATAACTAATGGGGCCAAAGAGTTTAAAAATAGGGTACTAGTTTCTTCTTTTGAACGGGACTGAGAGCTGAGGAAGAGAAGCTCAGAGCAGGAGGGAGGGGCAGCAGTGTGTTAGGGTGCATTTTAACAGCTTTACCATGCTGGCGTTTACTGTAAACATGCGTTAGCGGGCGAGATATTATGAGGGAGGCCCTGGTGGAATAAGCTGGGCTGTTTACGCGAAGAGATTTAAGACTGTCAACAGCTAAGTTTAGACGGAGGATTGCTGTCGATAAAAAGACGGCGGGAGGAACAATGTAAGATTCCCTGAAAGCTGACTTCTGAGGATAATAAACCGAAGATTAGTTTTGCTGCATTTGTTGCCGTAACTGCTACACAAAGCGATACCATCTCGTGTTCTAATAGTTCACAAATCAGATTGTCGCCTATCATTATTGTAGTATGAAATTAGTCATAAATACTCCTTTCGGGGAAATTGGATCAGTACAGTCGACTTTTTCCTGTAAAATTTACAGTGAAGATAACTGATCTTTTCTGCCACGAAAGAAAGCACATTGCTGATAATCGCTGAACTTTCAGGTCTGCTCGTGCCCTAGACCAGTCCCCTTTCAACTTTATTAAGAGACGACAACAGATTATGTGTTTTCTAAAGACAAAGCAGGAACCTGGAATCGTATTTTTAGCATCCTCACCTAAATTGGTCAGCGAAACCTCGTAAACGTGCCTCTACTTCTGTGTGAAAACTGCAGTTTGTTCTGCTGGGACATACGCGGCAGCATGTTACATAACAGAAGCCACTATTGAAATGCAAACACAATCGTGGCCTGTTGCAATTTTTCAAACCATAAAACATGTTTGACAGTATAAGCAACAGCTTGTTTTTTTTATCTGAGCAGAGATGACTGAACTCTTTTAGAAGCTGGTTTGGAATTTGTTGGAAGAAGCTTTTAGACATTTTTTATTGAAGTCTTTAGTATGCTGCAAGTAAATTATCTTTGCCACATTGCACCCAACCTACATGTGCTTCATTTTTAAGCCTAACTATAGATTCTGTAATTTAAGGCCTATTTCTTGTAATTACAGAGCATATGGAATATAACTCCCCTAAAACCTATACTCTGCTTCTCTAAATAGTCCACCCCTCCCTCCGTAAAGCTTTGTGTGAATAACTTGAATTGATACTCTCAGATGGCGGTTTTCACGTGTCAGGTAGGAAATACAGTCCATTTTTATCACTGACATGTCAGTCAGCAGTAGATCAGGCAGCTCACATTCAATGCAGCTGACAGTTATGTAATCGAGGCAGAGCCAGTATCTTGGCTGTTAAGATAATGTTACCCAATCTATTGTTGATTAAAAGCTATGTCACGCCTACACAACATCAAGTTAATCATGGAGACAGAGAGGAGGGGAAGACCAAACTGCATACTATCATTTAAAACTGGGAATGGAGCAACAGCAGTCATATCTGTGTGCAGCTCTCAACATCCTTCCTGCTGATAGTTCACAATATTGTGAAACCCAGGATTTTAGTTTTTCACATTAGTCATATAGGAAAACATGTACTCGTGGATGATTACAGTAATTAGTAGTAATTGCAGTCTGTCTCTTGATAAATTTATCCCTGCTCAAGTCCAAATCAGTGATTTCAGCCTTAATTTGTATATAGCAGTTGCAATTTTTATATTGCTTCCTCTGAAGCTGACATTATGGTTCCTTCTTGTCATGTGGAAAGTAGTTAAATCTGCACACCACAGTTTCTATTGCAGCTTTAGTGCAATCATCCAGATTCTTTTTGCCTGATCAGAAATTTATGAATTGTAAAGTAATAAAGTTATAAAAACTTATCTGTCATTGGGGTGAGCTCAACAAATAAGCATTCTCACCACAGCCATAGATGCCCTAAGCGAAACATGGCATGCTTGGTAGGGCTGCATGCAAGCACATGTAACGCTAAGAAATTATGCAGCCGGCGGAAAAGTCAACAAAAAGTTCTGTATGATGCAGGAAAACTCAAGTCGAAAAATCCCTGTCGTCATCTGTCCATGCCGCTGACTGATCATCGGAACAAATGCCTCTGAGGCTGTGACACAACATACTGCTCTTGTTATTGCTGTGAAAAAGCACCGGTTGATTCTTCTTGAACACTGAGCCCCAAAGTCCGTTTTGAGAACTATAAACTGCATTTTTATCTGATCATCACACAAGGGCTGAGGGAGGGTCTCACCTGTTGGCCCGGTGTAAAACCACAGCATCAGTGTTTACCTTAATGTCTTATCATCCCTCAGATTTACAGGTCTGGTCCTTGTATTATAGTATTTGATTGTTTCACCAGAGCTTAGAGTCGGATACCACCGACACAGCTCCTTAAGCTTTTCATTAAAAAATGTCATACATAAGTTTTTTCATTCATTTGTTTTTTAAATGTGCGCAGTAAAACACTTTAAAGTTGTTTTTTTAAGAGCAGAGATGTCCTATTACACTATATAACCTATGTGCTCTTTATCGGTTATGATCACATGAAACTGCAGTCAACAGTTCTTCCATTAAAAATGTCTCTAACAATCACAGGAAAAATAAAGACGTCAGTTCTGAGTAAATAAAATGTGACTCTCATTTTGACCTGAAGTGTAAAGCCCACTTACATGTGTTCTGGTGTTTAGTCGTGTGCAGGTTGAGTGTTTTGGAGGGCACTGGGTGGGGAGGAAGGGGTTAAGACTGTACAGTTTATTTTGGGTAGGTGGGTGGAGGCTGTTGGAATGTGCCTGATGGAGGGTGATAATGTGGCCACTAGGAACCTCACATCCTCAGCAGAAACCTTGCATGCCTCTATCAGCATGGAGCAGTTGGAGCTATTCCAAACTGAAAACTGTCCTTTTTCTTTCTTATGTTTAAGTTGCATTAATTGAACAGCGTGTAAACAGATGTGTCAGTGTGGCATTAAAGCTCCTGACTAGAGGTCAACCAATTATCGACTTGGCTTATTATCAGGTCCATTATTTTTCCCAAAAAAATGAGAATCATTGCTCTTTTAAATGAGTCCTGATGAAGTAAATTCATTAACAAATGCACAGCTTTGGCTTCAGTGCAGCACCTCTGTCTGTATGTAATCACTGTGTGGTCTCGAGCAGTGTCCCGCCCACAGTACTCTCCGATTGGTTACACATCGTGAGTAACAGCCAATCAGCACTGAAGGATATATATTATAATTAAACATATGTGTAAAAAAATAAAACTCACCAGGATTTTATTTTTACAGCAAATATGTACCAGTTATAGGGCCCCACTGATTAGTTCATAATCAACAGAAGACAAAAAACATGACCTCCTATTCCTGACCACGGCCAAGGTAAAACTAACCTCAGGAATACGAGAGAATATAAAGCAAATTTCCAAGATGAGCAGAGAGATACATGAGTTAGTATAAAGTGCAAAACACAACAACATTGTATTTTATTTTGACAACAGGTTTGTTATTAAGCCCAGTACGTATATATAGCAGAAAAATAAGTTCAAGAAACTAATGAGACGTTATGTCCACGCGTCATGTAGGTGAGCAAACAGGCACACAAACCTAACTTTCAGGGTAGGTGTGCAGCAGGCCGTGCGTGGCTAAAATATATCAGCGAAGCCCAGCGTGCATTCCTGGTGGATCAGCCAGCCACCTTCGTCCTCGCTGCCCACTCTGCTGAAAGGTCAGACTAAATCAAGCCAAGAGGTGCTGTCTGATCAGATGTCTGATTACACTGTGGTTCTAAGTGAATTGATTAAAATATTCAAAGCACTCTGCAAGCAGCATCATATCTGGCTGTGGCAGAGTGGAACAGAATTAAATGAAGGACGCGGCTATATTCAGGCATCTTTGGATTATTTTGTAAATGAAACTGATTTGTATGTCTGGTGGAGGTATTTAAGTGATACCAAAGTAACCCTCCTCCTTACTTAACTACCCCCCCTACTTCTGAGTATCCATATCAGTATCACTCTTTGCATTTTTATTTCCAGAACACATTGATACTCCTGTTCACATTAGTAGTAGCCTGCAGCCTATAGGCTTGCTTGCATCTGTTCCCATCAGCCACGAGTAAAATGCTGGACAGGCTTGTCTCGGTTTATTCAGTCATCTGGCTACTAATTGAATCCTGAATCGATATCATGTTGACCAAGAATAAGACGGAGATTTTGGTTGTATCAAAAACAGTGTTTTCCTGGTTTTTATGTCGTACATGACGTGATTTGTTTCTGAAAAGTCTGGTGGATTTTAGAGGATTTAAAAAGCTATTCGTACATGCTGTGAACAGCACAAACAAAATCCATTTTCTTTTATTGTACCGGGGCAGCAGATAAGAGTCAGACACCATAAAACCTCTTAAAAGCACTATCTGCCTGGTTGGATAGACCGGTACATGGAAAAGCAAACAAACAAAAAACTGCAGAGG